ATCACTTTTTTGTTTAAGCACCCATTTACTTTCGATAACTTTTTTGTCCAAGGGCCACGACACTTCCGACCACGTATTATTTTCTTTTAACACTTTCAGCTCTTCATCCACTGCTTCTTGCCACTTCAATGAGTCTTCACTTGATATTGCATCTTCATATGTAATTGCTTGTTCTGTTTCAGTGTAAAAGCTTACATCGTAATCTCTCATCCATGTTGGTCGTCTTATTTGTCTTCTATTTATTCTTCCTATATTTTCTTCTGGATTTTCTTCTTCTTCTTCGTTTTCTGAATCACTGTCTGCATGTTCTTGATTTTCCGGTTGTTCTTCAGGTGTTTCATTTTCTATTTCGTGTTGTAATTTTACGACTTCTTCATTTTCTTGTGTAACAATAGTCTCTTTTTCGTTTTCGGGAATAAAAACCACGTCTCTATGTATACCAACTTCATTTGTATCAGGAAAATATATGCGATAACCTTTTACTGTATCGCTATAGCCAACGAAAATTCCCAAGTGACTTTTAGCATCTAGTTTTGTTCTTTTTTGTTTGGGAATGTGTACAGCACATTTTGCGCCAAATTCTCTGAAAAAGTTGATATCAAAGTCTCTTTTGAACCAAAGTTTATGTGGAGTATCTTCCCTGTTTGAGTTACATCCAACTTTATTGAGAACAAAAACTGCTGCATTTAAGGCTTCTGCCCAAAGGTTTTTATCTAGATTTTTACTGTGTAACATTGTTCTAACTGTTTCGACTAGGGTTCTCATTTCTCTTTCTGCACGTCCGTTTTTTTCTGGGGTGTAAGGACAAGATGTTTCGTGTATGATCCCCTTACTTTCTAACAAGCACTTTAGATTTTTATTGACAAATTCCAATCCATTGTCGGTTCGAAGTCTTTGTATTTGACACCCTGTCTGATTTTTGGTCATTTCAATAAACTTTTGAAAGTAACCGATAACTTCTGATTTTTGTTTTAAGTAAAATACAAATCTATAGCCTGAAAAGTCATCTTTAATTAGTAGGAAATACCTTGCTTGTCCAAGTGATTCCACTTCGAAAGGTCCACAAAGATCAGCATGCATAAGTTCACAGGTATTATTGGCTCTTGAGTCACTCAATCGGAAAGGTAATCTGTGTTGCTTCCCGAGAAGACAATCAGTACAATGTGGATTATTTTGGTCTTTATATTTTATCTCATGTTTCTTCAAAGTTTTTTTTACTTGTTCGAAATTTATGTGTGCAAATTTCTTATGCCAATCTGTCAAACTTTCTATTACATGACACTCTTCAGTTTTATTTTCAGCCAACACAGTTTTTGAGACAGTTTCCTTCTTTAAGTCAAGCAATTTAACAACATACAAACCATTTTCTTCTTTTTCGCCTTTCAAAATTTCTTTGTTATTTTTTGAGACTATAACCCTATTTTCTTTAAACAGGACTTCGCCCCCATTTTCAACAACTGCATTTACTGAGAGCAAATTTTTGGTCAATTCAGGCACTAATAGTACATTATTCAGTATGTACTTTTCGCCTACTATATTTCCTCTTCCAACAGCTTGCATTTTCTCATTTTTCTTCGCAACCAATATATCACTTTTTGTGTCTTCTGTGCAATTAAAGATTTCTACGTTGTTGGTCATGTGTGAAGTACATCCTGAGTCTACGACAAATTCTTGAAATTGGTTGGAAAAGCTGTGGGACAATAAAGCTACTTTGTTCTGGTTATTTTTTGTATGTTTGGAGTGGGAACTTGAATCTTCATCTTCCTTTTTCTTAAAGAAACAATTTTCTTCTTTATGGTTGGTTTTCTTGCATATGTTACACTTTATTTTATTTTTGGAATGGCAGTCCTTAGCATAATGGCCTGGTCTCCCACAGGCATAGCATTTTCTATTTTGTTGACCATATTTTTTATTACCATATTCTTTTTGTCTTCTATCTTCTGCCCTAAAGGCTACTGTTTCTTCAGCCGCCTCTCTTTGATTAAATCTTGCCTCTTCAGCAATCAATCTTGATGTAAGATTAAGATTGGTCAGTGTCCGTTCACTAACAGGTGTTGAATCCCATGCTGTAGAAAAATGTTTAAATTGTTCAGGCAACGTAGATAGAATCTTTGACATGAGCATGTTTTCGTCGTCTTGTTTTAAGGTCTTTACTCGGCAACATAAATTCTCCATTTTACTAATATGTAAACTAATATCAGAGTTTTTGTCATATTTAAAATTGAAAAATTCTTGCAGAAGATTACATTTCTGCTGCTCATTTTCTCTCTGGAAAATACCACATATTTTCTTAAACATTTCATGTGAATTTTCACAATTTAAAATATGCATCATGAGATTTTTATCAATTGTGGTTACTATAGCTTTTTGAGCCTGAGCGTCTTTCTTTTTCCAATCGGTTCTTTTATTGTCATCAACCATATCTTGAAGCTTTTTAGCACCATCAACAATTTCATATAAACTATTTGCTTTAAATAATATTATGATTTGAAATTTCCATAATTCAAACGACTCACAATCTTTTAATTTGTTGATCAAGGACAAATCCTCTGAAGACGCCATTTTCCAACACTTCACTATTTTTGCCAGGTATAATCACACATATTTTAGGTTGCCACACAGAATGCCACAAAGATTTTAGTTTTTTTTACTGTTTTTAGGTCACACAGGTTTTAATTTTCGCACACAAACGGGTCTGGGCCCATAACCTGAGGTTATTATAATAAAACACGAAGTAATTATTAACTTTTAATTAGAAAAAACTGGCAAAAATTAAACGGAAAATTAATTTGACAACAAAACCGACGCCATGTTTTATTCAGAACTTCACTCATATGTTTTTACCAATGAACTATAACCAAAAACTGGAATGCTAACACATAAGGACAAACGTGAAGCCTAGTGCAGCTGCTGCGGAGGGGATACCTGTTTTTGTCGCAGTCATTATGTTAAATGGCGAAAATTGCTTCCAACACGTATTCCAATTGATGAAACCTGTGAAGGGAAATATGACAAAACTTTCGAAAACGTCATATGTCAGCGAGCAACAGAAAAAAACAACATTCCCCTTTGTGGCATCTGTCTTTCATGGCTACATTTTTTTGGCAGATATGGCAATGTATGCGCATTCCAGTTTTTGGCTATAGTTCATTGGTTTTTACATGAAGGCGGTTCCTATAAAAATATTATTCCAAAGAATGTGTGGCGCCATCTACAAATTATGGTCCACACCTAACTAATTTCTGTGGTAAAATAATCTTATTGATTTTGTTAAGATGAAATCTGTTTTCTTCAACACTTTCTACACTGATTCAACATTAGGATCAATTCCTCTTCACTATCTGAAGCGCTTTCTCCAAATGAAGGATGTTCCAGCAGGACTTCTTTTGATAAGAACATAAAACATGCATTTCTCACTGCGATTTTTAAAATTGTAGTGTAGAACTTGCGTCGTGATTCATGACATTGACATTTATCGCAACGCCTCAATTCGTTCAGAAATGGCGCACTGAGAGTGCACTCCTAGTGATGACGTCAGAACACTCTAACAAACAACTACTCTACCTTCACACTCCATTTCTAAACGCACTTCAGCTGATAGTGGTGATGTCACCCGCAGACCTCGATGGAATGCTTGCCACTATGGTTGTTAGCCCATCATGTCAAATCACCAGTTGTGACGTAGGCAGCGTGTCGTTTCTCGCCTTGACGTAGGCTGTTTGCACCACAGGTTATGATTCCGCGGCTTTTGCTTTATGCGTACTTGGTTTCATCACATTAATTATCAATATTCTTCATAAATTTAAATTGAATATATTTTTTTTTTAATTCTCGAGAATTTAACAATACTACTTACGACTCAGGCTGTGGTTGTGAGATAATTTTTTCGTTAATTTCAACTGTAGTCACTCGGAGTTGCTCGCAAATGGTGCCGTTCATCAGGACGTAGCGCTACTGTAGCGATAATCAATTTTCTGATGAACGCCTGTTTTGTCAAACTAGCTGCATGCGTTCGATAAGTTGGACTGAGTTCGGCGTTGCACGCCACGGAGCGGAACGGTATGAGCATGGATATCGTGACGTCATAGGCAGAGTGCGCCCTGAACAAGGTTATAGGCCGAATGCAGATCCAAAAAAAAAACTATAACCCTTGTCACTTGTCACAAAAAAAAATTGTTTTGTTTTGATTTTAATCTTATTTTGCTAGTAGATGAGTAGGTACCCACTAAACAAAAAAACATCCATGTTTCGTTAAATAAATGTTCTCTCGTTACAATGTTACGTTAAATAATTTGATTTATTTTCGTTCTAGTTGCATCACATAGTCGTTATAAGTCCCGCAACTCAACAAAATCGCTGTTACGTTAGAGAGATAACGTTTTTGTTACGTTAAAAAATCATCTCAAGAACGTAATCTGGCCTTTATGAAATCGAAACAATTTAACGTAACTATTTTGTTATTAAGTGACATTATTGAAACGTTTCGAATGTAGCACATTTTAACGCAGCTAACGTAGCATCTATGTTATCTAGAAGAAGCAAAAACAATTCTGCATTGTTAAATATAACATTTATGTCTGTGTTGTCAAGACTGAAATTAATATTGTTTTACATTTTAATGGCAGCTATTACATAAAACAAGTTTTACTGTCGGTATTTTTGATCGTTAATTCTTTTCATAAGAACTACTTGTTAACTGGCATCAAACATAACGACAATAAAACTTGTTTTAGTGAGTGACATAAAAGAATATGTTATAAAATTATAAGATTTTTAAAATGTGTTTATACAAAGGACTTGTAACACCTTAATTTTTTTTTTTTGTTGATTAATATAATAATTATAGAACTAGTTACTAAGTATCAGCCTTTTGTTTTTACCTGTGAACTGAACTATTATGATATAAAAATACTTATCTAAAAACAATAATAAAACTCACATTTTTTATCAAAAAATTTAATGAAGTTTTTTTGGAATCATAGCCGACCAGAATAAAAAATAAAAACATTTCAAAAACTTCAAAATAGCCAACAATAATAAAAAATAAAAACATAATTTCAAAAACTTTCAAAATAGCCAACAATAATAAAAAAAAATAATAATTTCAAAAACTTTAAAATAGCCAACCATAATAAAAAATAAAAATCTTATTTCAAAAACTCAAAAAAATGTATTTTCAAATCACTAAGCCTCGCGTTTCAATCTTTGATTAGCGTGACGGAACCAATCCATGGCCGTCACCTCAAACTGCTTATCAGTAATTTTGAATGTCTTCTGAACTGCTCCTGGAAATATACAAGAAAATTCTTTTTCGATACAACAAATCATTGAGGCCCAGTTGTACAATCTCGGTTCAAAATAAAGTTCAACTGAACCTTACTGGTACTTGAGCTTTCCCATTTAAAATACATTGCTGTCAGCAATCAAATTCTATCAATTTTGTCAGCAATGCATTTCCAATGGGAAAGTTCAAGTACCAGTCGAGTTCAGCCGAACTCTGTTTTGAACTAAGATTGTACAACTGGGCCTAAGACAAAGTAATTTTTATTTAACATTTTTTTTAAATGTCAATGTCTAAAAAAAGTTTACTCAAATTTGTAGATCAAAAAATTCAACTTAAAAAATTAAAAAATTAAAAAATGAAATTGTACCTTTTAACACTAACATCACAACACAATCTTTAATTCTGAAATTATTTTTCTGGCCCGTCCATGAACAAGAAGATGCAACTTGGTTAGTGAATGTGGCAGCTAGTGCTCTTCGTATAAAATCAGTTTCTGATTTGCCAGAAACTTGGAGCATTCTATTGACCTGCAAAATAAAATGTCTAATTATTTATAAAAAATATTTTCCAATACTAACCATTTTTTTTTTTAAGTCTCCAGATTTTAGTAATTCTTCTAGATCTAATATTTCCCCTATAGTTTTTAAAGGTAATGGGGGGAGTCCTGTAAAATCGAGGTCTTTGCTGTTAGTGTTGTCCACGTTGGAGGAAGTTGTAGCCTCCAATGAGCTCAACCTCACCAGGATAAATTTCAATGTTTTATCGATATCCTCCAGTTTCTTCCAAATTTGTTCATTTGTTATAGGTGGCTTCACCTCTAAAACATTACCTTGTAATTTATAAATATTGTAAATTGAATATAGTAAAATGTTTTCATTTTGACTAAATGTACATTGATACAATACCATTACGATTATACTCTGGCTGAGTCTCTGCCCCTCCATCTGGAATAATTTCGATCACTCCTGAGCGAGCTCCCGAAGTTACTGCACCACGATTATCAGAATCATCTATTATGTTTGTCAATTCTAAAAAGTAAATTTTATAAAATATAGGCTGTATACTGCAATATATTTATATTCTTGGATGCAAATAATAAGCCTAAAATAAGCAATTTATGGCACTAATCAACTTGGCTTGAAAATTCACCAAACAATAAGTAGACGTTGACATGCGTTGACATTTCAATCACGTGTTAACAGTCCTACATGGGTATACATTATACATACCCAATATATTATCATCTTGAATATGAATATCAAGGGGATTGATAGTTATCACTTCTGGTTCCATTATCATTTCGTGGGACATTGCTTCTTCCATAATTGTATTGAACTCCGTATTTTTGTTATGATCGAACTCGCCAGGACTAGATATTTCACTTTCGGAAGCTAAAAATTATTTAAATAGTAAAATAACTTTCAACAAAAGCAAAGCTATTTACTGGTGTTTGAAAATGATGGAGGAGGAGAGTACTGCTGTTTCCTCTTGAATTTCCTTTTCCCTGGGCCCCTGCCCTCAGACTCTGACTCAGAGGATTCTTTAGCAGCAAGCTTCTCCATGGCAATGGCGTCCTCATACATATCTTAGTAGAAGTAAAGAAAGTGGAAAGATTTATCAATTATGTAATTACCAAACTAATTTTTATACTAACCATAAACTCCATATATTTTGGTAATTTTGTAAGTAGGCCATTCCAAATTTGGCGCATTGGCCCTAATGATGAGTGTCCTTAAGTTTTTGGCACTGTTTGGCCAGTATGCGATGTGGTCGTTTAACATCCAGCATTTCGGGATCACACTTATCCCACCCTCTTTAAAACTAGTCACTGCGTACTAAAAATGTTTTTTCTTTGTCAAAGTAATATAATTTGCAAAATATTGTATAAGTAACAGTAGAATTATTTGATAAATATGCATATTAGATAAACTTTTGGTGTTTAAAAGTTCATGAGTATAAGTTTTGGTTTTACTGTTAAATAATACAATTCTAGTTATAATAAGTATATTAATCAAATAATACCATTACTATTACTCGATGAGTATGTAGTACGTACTGCAATTAGTATTTTCTTTATTATGGATTTAAACTACATTATTAATTTGTATATACCTTATATGAAACTAGGTACAGACTGTCTCACTTGAGAATGTTACACCATCATAACTTTTTTAGTTCAATTTACTTTCAATAAAATTTTAGTAGAAGGTAGAACATAGTTTTCCTTTAAAATACAATTCAAAAAGAAGGGATAGCAAAACGTTCAGAATCGCTCCAGAATCATCATTTTGGGTTTTTCAAAACTATATCTTTTTCTTTCATCAGTATTTTTTTGTTACACTGAAGTAAATTTTTTTTATGCTGTGATTTTTGACGGAAGGTACTAAGAACTCTAAGAAGAAAATGGAAATAATGGAAATATCTTGTACGATGTAATTTTCAGAATATCATAAAAATGCATTAAATAAGTACTCAAGGAGAACAAAAAATAAAAAAATCATATATGTATTGGATTTGGTGCAGTCTATTCTAAAATAAAGAACTATTCTTGGAAAAAAAATTCCATGGAAAATGACAATTAAGTGGTACAATTTTCTGATCTTTTTCCGCTTCGTAAGTAGGCGTTGCATTCCACTCTGCTTACTTTTAAAGGCAAACATATTATATCCTACGTTTCACTACAATTTTGTTGAAATCATAGGTATAAGGCCTAAAAAATGTTAGGTTGTGACAGGCTGTGACACTCTGTTGGTGATTATCGAGGTGATTATATAAATAATTCATTTATATGAATAATTGAACTTAAAAGACTTAAATACATAATAAATAAGGCTTAACTTATACTTATACTGAATTACCTTTTTTTTTTGTTAAAAAGTTACTCTCAAGGCATCAATCACTTCAAACTCCATTTGAATACTATTTTAAGGTAGACAAAAAGAAAAAAAAAAATGGGAAAAAAATCTAGAAAGCTAAAAAAAAATAAAAAAGAAATAAAAAAAATTAAATAAAAAAAAACTAAATTAATACAGAAGTTTTTACAAAAATATTTGTTCGTTAAACGATATTATTATGTAACAAAGGCATAAATAGCTCTCCTATTCTTATTGCTTTACAAAAAATATCGTTTATGTCATGAGTAGTTTGAGTTTCCATATTATCATTATTCACCAGTCCAATATTTAATTTCAATGAATCACATGGAGTTTTAAAATAAGATTTCAGTTGGTGAAAAACTATACATTCAAAAAATAAATTATCATTTTTTTCAAAAAAGTTAAGAAACTTTATTGCTTTTCCAGATTTTAAAAAAGCAAAACAATTTGGTTCAGTGATAGAAAAACAAAAATTAGATGAATTTAAATTTTTGTAGAAAGTAACATGATTACAACTGTTCCTACTTTCTAGTACATTAAATAATTTAGCAGTGGTTTCTGTTGGTTCGGAAAAACAGTGTGTATTATATTCATAATACCTGTTTATAAACTGTTGGAGAGGGTAATTACTAGTCTTCAATATTTTTTTTATATTTGACATATAGTTCTCAAAACGGAAACAACTGAAATTATCTAATGGCCCGAATCTCTTTACATCGTTAACTAAGTGGATTAAATTATGGACATTATGATTTAAATACTCTCTTCCATATAGGTCTCCAAATTTTGAAACAAAATATTTTATTAACTCTTCAGCATAATTTAAAAACTCTTGCTTGATGACCAGATCAGGAGATACCAATATTCTGATAGCTACATGAAAAGAGAGAAAGTGACTCCATAGGGGTTCCTTCAACACATTTTTAACTGCTGCGGGGCCATAGTATAACAAAAAATTTCTAAACTCTGTTGCTTTCCATCGATCCAATTCCTTTAGAGACCTAGGCAGTCTAGCAAATTCCACTACACAATGTTTTCTGAAAGATTCTAAGTTGTCATTTAATAAGTCCAAATCCTCCTTAAAAAAACGTACGCCTTGGTGTCCTGATACCCAAAAACTAAGCAATCGTTTTGTAACACCCAAGCAAACCAAATGCATATAATCAAGGGGAATGTCATTAACCAAATCAATATTTAGCTCAGTAAGTGGGGTTGGACCTTTATTATAGTCCTCATCAATCATGTTAGCTACTTCAGTGTGTGTTCTTAAACTTGCTTCTGCATTTAAAAAAGACATTCTGTGGTTTATGTACTCCCCTTCAACTTGGCATTTCGTGCAGCTACTATAAGAATTATGGCCTTTTACATTTAAAACAAATGATTTAGCAGGAGCATCACATAATATTTTTGAAATTTGGACTGAAAACTGCGAGTTATTGAAATGTATTCCATTTTGTTTAACTGTTTTAAACTCATTCACAAAAGCTTGAAAAAAACATTGAATATTTTCAGGCTTGGACTTGCCATGGAATACCCCTATGGGAAAAGGCTGACTATCTTTAAAAGAATCCAGAAATCCTAAAATTGGCCAAAATTGACTCAAACTACTTTTAGTCAACGGGATGCCATCAATGTTTATTGATATTTTCAACACTTCTGGACAATTAATAATATTCTGCCTTTTCAATGTCTCTAAAATGCCTTCTTTCAGGCCAAAATGATAATAATTCCCTGATGAGAATTGGACAATACTTTTTTTTCAATGTTGGGTCGACTTTGAGAAGTGTACGACAATCACGCGGAATGTCTTTATATTCAGTATGAAACCGAATTATTTTCAATAATTCATTAAAAGCATTATGACTTAAATGTGTTTTTACAGCCCATGAAGTTAAAGATTTTAGAAATTTTTTACTATTAGTTTGAGGTAAAATATTGGTGTCCTGATATGTATCATCAATTGATAGAGTTTCACCTTGACAAGGAACTACTTTTGGAAAATATTCTGTAACTAAGGATGGAATGGAAGGACTACAGGCACTGTTAGAAGAAGTGGATGCTAAAATGGATGCATTCTCAAGAATACTGGCATTAGTTTGTATCGGGGTTTGGGAACTATTGTTGGCAAAAGCCTCGGTAAAAGCATTGCAGTTAAGCCTTGTCGTACTGGCAGTAGCTCCTAAGGATCTCTCATTATTTGATCTGTCTCTCGATCTGTCTTCAACAATTTCTGATATGTTATTAAGAACCCTCCTTATATGCCTCCTACAGTAAGACGAGTACGGTTTGGAAAGGCGCTACAGACAAATAAACATTCTCTGATAAACATAAAATACCTCCAACGAGCGTTATGTAAGGTTAAATCGAGGGTTATTGAATCAAGGGTAATTGAAATTGATGATTACTTTTTTAGCAAGTTTTTTGCTAGCACTTCAGACTGATATATGTACTTATATAATTGTCTGCTTTATATTGCACACCTTATATTTCTGCTATGAGGACAAAATTAAATCTTTAAATTTGTTAGTAATATTTTTATATGATTTATCAGAAATAAAGATAGACTTTAACTTAGTCAGTTAGGGATCTGAGATTTGTTTTTGATTAAACTCCCTTCAAATCCAGTACCTAAGTATGCTATTACGACATTCTTCGGGCCCTTTATGGCTTCTTGAGAATAAAATATAAGAAGGAAATTTATGCACAAAATGCTTACCTTCTCCATGGCTCCAAACAAAAGAACACAATCACAAGCACGTAAAACAATTACAAAGTTCTATTATATTAATATGAAATAAAATCAATAAAAGTGGCAAAAAATTTAAATATTCAGATAGTTTAACAAAATCATTAAAATCACCAAATAAATTGTGAAATCCCGCCAAACCAGAAACCAAGCAACAACAAATGCCGCGCGCGAAGTCGAGATTTGAGGTTATGTTGGTGGCGTGAGCCGTGGTGTGGTCTAGCTGGCGGCGCCGTGGCTCTAGTCCTGTTATCTAGCTGTTCTGGTTCCGAAATATCTCCCGTTCTTGCCGCGTTTTGAATAACATCCCAATCTCGAAACTCTAATGAGTCTAGATGCACATTTTTGGGAGTTTTAATTTTGTGCATTTATTAACATTATTATCTTGTTACAAAAAAACGTTCCAGTAGTGTAACTATGCCAATGTTATTTATCAAAACAGAATTTTTACGTTTTTAGAATGTTTTTTGAACAACGTCACGAATAAGTTGTTACATTAACAAAACATCAACGTTGAAAATAAACGTTTTTTATTATATTTTATTAACACGTTTCGTTTAAAACGTCATAACCACATACTTAAAATTCCCGTTCCAGGGACGTTATCATGTCTAACGTTAAAAAAAAAAACGTAATTTATACATCTCTAGAATGTTTAGTGAAAACGTTTTTTAAGTTTCTTATAATTAACGTTACCAAACGTTCTAAAGATGTTTTTTGCTTAGTGGGTAATGTCTAGCAAACATCTGGGATGCGTTTGTCCAACCTGCTGTCCTTCTTATTACTTGTAAAGAAGCCCCGTTTTTAAAGGCTGTAGACGTAGCTGCATGCCTAGTAGAGTATGCACCAAATATCCTGGTATCAATTCCAGCCTCTGATAGAGTAGCCTTAATCCACTTGCTGATAGTATTAGTACTTGCTGTGTTAAATGGAGGACGAGTGCATATAAATAGAAATTCCTGACATTCGGATCTATATTCAGCGGTTCGTGAGATTTCTTGAAAATATGGGATTTGCAAGCAGGGATTATTAGTGTTGCTGCTGGTAGTTTTTATGTGATCTGATATAAATATCTGTAAACCTGATGAATCTATGATTATGTTGTTAACTCTTATTCTCGCCAGTGTTTGTAATCGATGTCCAGTGATTAAAGCCAGAAGGGTTGCAGTCTTTCGCGATAGGGCTATTAGGGATAAAGATTCATTGGGAAGTTTTGTTTCCAGGAAATCTAGAACTGTGTTAGCGTCCCAAATAAAATCATATTTTCTTCTAGGTGGCCTTAACTTGAAAATGCCTTTCATAAACCGTCTTATATTTGGTTTATATCCTATATCAAAATCCAAGATAAGTGATAAAGCAGATCTGTATGTGTTGAAAGAACCATATTTGAGCTGCTTAGTTTGAAACTGTTCACTTAGGAAATTTATCACCTGTTGTTCATCCGCTGTAAAAACGGAGAGCTTGTGAAGTTGGCAGAAATCCCACCAATGTTTATATGCACTTTGATATTGCTTGATAGTAGAGTCTTCAAGGGATCTCATAAGAATAGGTATTGCAGCTTCTGGATTACCTTTCTTCAATAATGCTCTCCTGATAAGAGCCCTGCCTCCAGGGAAAGGTTCAGTTGTTTGAAGCACCTGGAAGGAAAAATAATAGGGTTATCTTCTGGATGGAAAATAATTGGATCTTTAATAAGCATCTTTCTCCATAAGGGGTACCAAGGTTGTGAGGGCCATCTTGGAACCACTAAAATACCTGTAGCCCTGTCTAGCTGTATTTTGTTCAATACTCGAAGTACTAGACAAAAGGGAGGGAAAGCATAAAAGAAAAATTCTCTCCAAGAAATGGTAAAAGCGTCAATAACGACTGAGCCTGGATCTGGTAGATATGAGGCATATATAGGACATTTCTTGTTTATGCAAGATGCGAAAAGATCAATAGTTGGATCGCCCAAAAAATTAGTGATTATTTTGAACAAAGTATTATTTAATTCAAATTCTGTTTCAGAGGGTAGTATCCTTGATTCGTGGTCAGCTATAATGTTTTGAGTTGAAGGGATATAACTTGCTTTAATCCATAAATCCCGTTGTTCACACCACTGCCATAGATCCTTTGCCAATTTTGCTAAATGTGGGTATTTGACACTACCCATACGATTGATATAGGCTATGGCAGTGGTGTTGTCTATTCGTAAAAGGATATTTTTTGACTTTTGATTTGCAAAAGTTTTTAGACCTAAAAATGCACTTTTTAGTTCAAGAAAATTTATATGCTCCTCCTGATCTTCCATGGTCCACCAACCATGAGTCCTCGAAGAACCACAAACAGCTCCCCAGCCAGTCAAGGAGGAATCTGAGAAAATTTCCAAGTCAAAGAAGTCTGCACGAATTTGGTTTTGGGAACTTGGTATAGAGGTTTTCCACCATATTAAATCAGGCTTTACACTTTCAGGAATATTCACTTTACTGTTGAAATTTTGACTGTTGGCTATCAAGGATTTTGTTTTAAAACTTTCTAGTTCCCTTGTATAAAGCCATCCATATTTGACAGCTGGACAAGCAGCAACTAGAGAACCAATTACTTTCGCTAGAAATCGTATACTACAGGACCTAGACTTTAACAGCTCCTCTATAAGGTTTAGGATCTTTATCCTCTTTTCCTCAGGCAAAGATAATGTCATGCTAGAACTGTTAAATAAAAAACCTAAATAAACACATTCATTGGAAGGCTCTAGACTGCTTTTTTCATAATTTACTATAAAACCTAGAAATTCAAGTAATGAAGTTGCAATTTTTATATGTTCCTTGCACGTTTCATAATCATCTGCTATAATTAAAAAATCATCTAGGTATACTACACAGTATACACCCAGACTTCGTAAGTAGGTAACCACTGGTTTTGTTAACTTAGTAAACGTGTAAGGAGCAGACGAAAGTCCAAAAGGCAATGCCTTGTACTGAAAAATCTTTTCCCCAAGTTTAAAACTCAGGTATTTACGATGGTGTTTGTGAACTGGTATTGCGTAATAAGCGTCCTTAAGGTCTATGGTGCCCATGAAAGATTTGGGCTTTATGAGCCTCAAGGCCACTCTATAATCTTCCATTTTGAAATGGACCTCTCTGATAAATGTGTTTAAGACTTTGAGATTTAGAATGAATCTGGCTTTTTTGTTAGGTTTTTCAACTAAGAAAAAAGGAGAGAGAAAATACTCTTCCCTCTTATCAACTTCCTCGATGACCCTTTGATTTAAAAGGTCCCTGACACATCTAGAAACTAAGCTAGGGTCCGAACGGGAGGGAGGAAGGTAAACCCCATGGTTGTTAGGTGGATCCTTCAAGAAAGGCAATTTATACCCAGTGATCCACTGTAAAACATAGTTGTTACTCTTAGTGATATCTGACCATCTTGATGCAAAATGTTTTAATCGCCCACCTATGGTACTTACCTCTATTTCCGTGTTTTTTCGTAATATTTCCTCCTGTTTCCCTGGCTCTGAGGTTGCCCTCTCTGCCTCGAGTCCCTCGCAACTCGGGGCGGGCCCCTCCAGTTTA